ATGTCTGCAACAGCATTGTGCCACTGTCGCCTGATGAGCAGCGGGCTGAGCGTGCTAAGACTCGTGGAAGAGGCCGTGGCAAAGGGAAAGGACGTGGTAGAGGCGGCAAGGCAAAGAATGAGGAACCGGAAGAAGGCGCTGAGGCTGAGGAGCCTTCCAAGAAGCGACGAGCCAAAAAGGACAAGAATTCTTCTGGCGACAAGAGCGCTTGTAATGGCAAGGCATCCAGTTCTGGCGCAAAGCCAAAAGCAAAAGCTAAGGCCGCAGCAGCCAGAAAGGGTAAGAAGGACTCTTCGAAGTCGGATGATGCCAAGGGACCCAAGAAGAAACGGTCCGATGTGGACAAGGAGAAAAAGGAGAAGAAGACCAAGACACCTGAGAAGTCACTTGAGACTATGTCCACGGAGAAGGCCGAGAAGGCTGATTCAGCTGATGCAACCAAACCTTCTCGAAAGAGACGGTCAGTTGTTGAAGACACGGAGGCAGTGGCTGCAAAGAAGAAGATGGTCTCGATCAAATCCAGCGCATATCATTGCGCCAAGAACAAAGCTTTGAAGGATGGCATGTCCAAGGAGGAGGCATTAGCTTTGGCCAAAGCCGTGCCTTGTCGTTCAGTTTTTCACCCATGAACATTTGTGTATGCGTTCGTATGATTGTGTATGCAGTGTGGGTGTGCATGCCTAGAGAATCTATGATTCTATGGCGCGGTTTAACTGAGGCATATGCTGCTGCAGGCGCTTGATTTCACAACAAGGGGATTCTGTCTATTGTCGTGATGAACATGACAATTCGGGTGTAGCTTGAAGTGAAAGCTTCAGGCATGGGGTTCAACATTGAGCCTGTGATCCGCTAGTCGCTAGGGGTTTGCTTGCTGGCTCGACCAATCGAAGAAGACAAAAAAATGGCAGCACACATGCGTTAACTTGCGCTTCAAATGAAAGCATGTATTCTGCATTCTAGATCGTTTCTGTGAACACTTTCCCTGGGATCCTTTGTTTCAAGCCCCATAGTGTAGAGGTCTTTCAATCTCTGTTGGGTTGCCATTGCAGGCGATGCCCTCCTCTTCTTTCACGTGGAGGAGAAGGGCGCTCCAATCTGGTCAACCTTGGCCCGCTTTGCAAGTGATCTCTTCAACACGTTTACATCAGCTCGGAAGTCCGTAGCCGTTTCACAACCGAGCGCTTGGCGAGTGTTAGAACATGTGGGACCTTGTCACTTCCCTCCAGCATGTGCAGGCCCCCCAAGGCCAGACCATGATCAAAATGAACAAAAACGTGCAATATTGAAAGAACATGCGATTAATGTGCGTGAGCCCGTCAGGCATTCATTGCACTAGCTTCGGCCCTGGTACTCTGATGCGCAAGCAAATCTTGTCTAGTATGATCGGCGTGCAGAAACATCGATCTTTTTGCTAGGTGCTCCTGGTGTCTTTCATGGACTTCCCAACTGAGTTCGGTCGTGAGCCATATCAGTTCTTTGAAATATTTGCCGGGAAGCAAGCTGTGACGAATGTGATGTCTTCTTCTCAGTGAGTACCAGCGGATACTTCGATTCCAATGTAATTGCCAGTCATGTTTGTTGCAATTGGTTGTGAAACTCTAGCTGCTGCTGGCCAATTTTTCCTAAGGTATGAAAGCGGCTACACCACAGCATCCTTTGATAGGGATTTTGACCAGCGCGGCATGAACTTTCTAGGTTGCGCTGGATTCTTGTTCTCTGGCCCAACTGTCACACTGTTGGATGTTGCTGCCCAATCACCCCGATCCATCAACTTCCCATCCGAGGCTCTGCGTAGCTGTGGTCTGCAGAATGGAACAGAACGGGCTGATCCTCGCAGGACCAGATTGCTCGTCCTGGGGAGTACCGGCGCGTGGGACGTCTCTGAGGAACTTTGTCAATGTAGGTGGAAACCTCTTTTTGGCTTGGGTCCGTGGATCCTCGACCATGATCAGTAGGCTACTTGTCATGCGCTGCGTTATGTTTGACAGAATGTTTTTCTATTGTAGCAAGGCGAGGTATCCCTTCATGCTCAGCGATCCCAGGTTGACCTTAATCCTTTTGTTGGCCATGAGCAAGAACCTTACATGGATTGTTGAGCAACCGCAACATTCACTCCTTCAACGCCACAAACGGTTTGAATGGATGATGAACCATGTGTGCTATGCAACAAAGCTGCATATCGATCGGTCGGTTTTGCTAAAGGCTCCGTTTCGGGGGGCGACTGTTTGGTCTTGTTGGCCCGGTTCAAAACCCATGACAAAACATGCTCCACCAACCCCTCTATCAGCCGTCGCCCCGTCTCTGATCTCAGGTGTTTAAGGTAGCCTTCTGGATGATGCTGCACGGCGGACCATCGAGTAAACGTACATGGTGCTACAGCAATATGAGTGAAGTATCCTCATTGGATGTGGGACGGCTAAAAAAGGATGATAGGGAACGTGATACATCAGCTGTTCTTACACGACCCTCACATGCAATATGGAGGATGAAGCGTGGGAAGGGCATTGGTGTGGCAACATCATGCTCGCATGTGATGTAGGCTAGCTAGTATAATCTAAGGAAAGTATATCGATGGACAGGGCCAAAAACGATTTGTTGGGACGCCAAGCTTGCGTTCATCCCAGTGTCCTGACTTATACAGCGCTATATCGGCAACCATGTTGTTGGCAACATGCGGCCACAAATCACCCACGACTGCCCCGGCCCAGGGCATATCCCAGGGGCTTTGGCTTCAGCGTCAAAGCGGTTCATGAAGAACATCTGGCAGGGCCTGCTCGGAGGGACTTGCGCTTCAAGGTTCAATCGGACTCCACAGCTTCCCTGGTCCAACAATTTGACAATCTACCACTTGGAGACTTATGGGAAGACGCCAACCTATTAGAACCTATCCGCTATGCCCTCACCTGCAAACGGACCAGGTGACCATCTTTGCCATGATATGTATGCCATGATTGTTGGTAAATTTGATACATCCATATGACATACTGTCTCGGTAGGATTCCCATGGAATGGAAAGATGCTATTGAGCGCTTTGTCAATGATTATGAAATGGAGGCCTCTAATTGCGCATTGAAGTGTGATATGTAACATATATCGCTTCGATGTTGGCTCCATGCAACGGGCAGGTTCTTGGAGATCACGAGTTGCGCCAAGAGTACGCTCGCTTGGTGGACCCGAGAAGCTAGGTTCCACCAATTCTGAAGTTCTGTGGCTTTAGCTACAGGAGGAAGACAATTCAGCAGCTAATTCATCGGGGCTTATCCCACCCCAAGCCTGTTTTGGCTTGTCTATCCAGGCGCCGTCTCCAATAGTTGATGCTCAACATGTTTTCATTGTTTTCTAACTTTTTTGGGGGCCACCGGAAAGGGCGCAAAACGCACGCAAATAGGCGCAATAAGGCGCAAAAACGCGCAAAAAGGCGCAATCTCAGAATGTGCCTCTTTTGGAAATCAAGGTGTGGTGGTGTATGAGCTTTTTTCTGGAACCATTGACAACCGTTGTGTCAAATTTCATGTGGTAGCTTCCCCTTTTGGCTGAAACCAATGACAGCTAGACTTCATTCAGCCGAGACCCTGATGAACGGAACGGTAGGGGTCAAGTTTGCTTCGGATGCTGGTCATGATGGAGATCACGATGCGCGGAAACGTTCGCTACAGGAGAACATCAAGGAACCCAGTGCTCTATGTTTGTGGTCAAGGTTTTTGTTACTGACGTTCACGGTTCAAGATCGTAAAAACTTAAAACACTCGTCGTGCGGTCATATTGTCCAGGCCAGCCAAGAACGAATTGCCGCGCTCCGCCGGAAGTTATCCAATCAATGTTCACCAGCGGCTCCTTCTGTTACTGTTCCTGGAATCTCAGCCGCGCTGAAGTTATGTGGCTTTGCATGGGTCTTGTGTTGGAGCTTTTACCAGGCGACCACAGTGCCCAGCCAGGTAAAAGCTCCAGCCGTTTAAGTGGGAACCACATCATATAGTTTTCTTGTGGCACAACCCGCAGCAACGACGGAAACCGGGAGTTATCATAAGATCCGCTACACTTGTGCTGAGGAGCTCCCTATTTGGCACAGGCGCGTGGTCACTACTGCGCTGGCAACATGCCATCATCAAATGAGACTCCAACACCGGCTGAGGCAACACAAGCAAGCGTTGAGGCAACACAGGTTGTGGTTGAGGAAACCCAGCATGGCACACCCCATGCCACTGAGTGGGTCCATGATTCGCCACCAGACGCACTGCCTTCATACAATTACGACCCGAACAACTTCGGACGTGCGCCAACAATGTCAACACTGCTTTATCAGCAACAGCCGGCGCCAGCATCAGGCCCGAATGCACCGCCATTGGACAGTGCACCACCTGCTCATCCCCCAGTGCCAGCTGAAGCTCAAGGGAGCCCGGCTGAAACACCAACACCAGCCACGGTTGCACAGCATGTCGCAACAACAAGCTCCACAACAGCGCCAGCCACAAGCACACCGGCCGCAAGCGTTCCAGTACCAACCCCAGCCCCTACTTTGCTTGACAACACACAGCCAGCCCCAGCAGCAGCTGTAACCTTGCAGCAACAAGCGGCTCCATCACCAGCATCGGTGACACCTGTGCCAGCCATCCAGCCTCCAGTGCCTGCCGGGCAATTGGGGCATGTTGAACACCTTGATGATGGTCTTGAGGTGGATGATTCTGTCTCCCAGGCAGCACCACCATCAACATCAGATGGTGGAAATCCGTACTGGAAGTTGCTTGGCCCGATTTGTGCCCTGCTGTTACACGACTGCCAAACCTGCTGTTACACGACTGCCAAAAAAGGGGCCGTCCAACCGTCGACGTTTGGACGGCCCCTTTTTCTCTACCTCCGCCGCTACTGCCTTGGACCATTGGGTAGCCTTTGGGATCCTGTGGGTTTAAACATTAACATGCCATATTCTGGTGCTAAGGCTTCGCCGCTACTTCAAGCCAAAGGCTGGTGGGCAATTGAAATGCTCCCCGGAGGCTTTGAAGATGTGGAACGATCCGACACAACGTATTTTGGACGCGCTGTTAGTCGCTACAATTCTTGTGCGTTGAAAGCGATGGTGTCTAGATAAGTGTTCAGCAAACGTTGCAAAACTGAGGCAAAGAACTTCAAAAAATGTTTTTGGAACATGGCTCATTCGGCGACCTTGAAATTGCCATCAAGAAGAAAACTCTCTCGAGTCACGCGCAGTCAAAGAAGGGGGGGTGGTACACCAAGAGCAAGCTTGAGCTTGTGGAAGGTTGGACAAAGAAACATGTCTTAATCTGTTTTGCAATGGTCATGTGAGATGACATGTAGCTGTCAAAAAGAACGTGGTTTATTTTAGTTCTAAGGAAGATGATCGAGCGAGCATGGGCGTGGGCCAAAACCAACAAACGTTGGAGGGTCAACGACGTACATGGAGAAGAAGAAATTTACATTTTGGTGAGTGAGACATTTGATTTCACTAACACGCAATCGGAAGAGACGGAGCAATGCGGCAACATTTCAGTTCAGGAGCTGTGCTCAAAAAATCTTTGTGAAGCAGCTTGCAACACATGCATGTTGTTGTCTGACAGGATGAGAGCGGTTCCCTCTTCAACACGGACCTCCCCGATTTCAACAGCGGAGCGGCCTCGGCTGGCAACGGCGGTGATCCCACATCCTCAGGCGGTCAGGATGTGGTTGGGGCCACGACTGGTGTGATGAGCTTCAAGTCCCCTGAACAACACACTGACCTTGAAAGTTTTCCACTAGGTAGTTGAACGCATTGGTTGCCAGTCCTCCATCCAAGGCTTTGCTTCCCGAGCATTTCAGCTACCACTTCCCCTCTGCAGATTTTGCCACAATTTGTAGAAGTTCTCGGGCGCAAAATCGACAAGATTGGTTCTGAGCAGGACAGCTTAACTTAAAAGATCATGAACCAATTCTTGAAACCCATAAATGTTCAGATAGTTTTACAAAACTCTTGCAGGAGAGGCTTTCGAAACTAGGACAGCCCGGGGCTTCCTCGTACTTGGGATGCAATATGTTGCCAGTGAATGTTTGTCTAGTTTTCCTGAAGTCACCTAATCAACACTCAGGCTGGCCAACCTGATGCACACCCAGCTGACCAAAATGCAAAGCTTGTACGACCAGCTATGCCAATTGCTATCGGAAGCCACGGTCACCCCAGAAGCTTTTGACAAGTACCCTGTCCTGCATGTTAGATTCCCATTGAGCGTACCAACAAGGGAGGCATTTAATGCGTGCAAGTAAAGCATGAAAAAACTCAGGTCGAAAAAGGACGACGTCCAAGCGAAGTTTGTGGCCTGCACCAAAATGGATGTGGCTATGAATGCCATGATCATGCGAGGAAAGTGCCTGGTTTGAAAACATTAGCTGACCACACACGCACATACCTTCCAAGGCTTTAATCAAAAGTGCAAAACATGCAGATTTAAGACGTCCATAAATGTCGTGCAATATGGTTTGACACCCCCCCGCCGCCAAGGGGCATGAAGTCATCGTCTACCGCATCAACTGCGCCGCCTGCCCCGAAGCCAAAGGCAAAGGCAAAGGGGAAATCCAAACCGAAAGCATCCAAGGCTGCTAAGGCCAAGGAGGCAAAAGCATAGATCGATCATAATTCTCCGAATATGGGGATGTGTTCGGCCATAGTGACACGATGTAAATTGCTTTGCAATAGTCGGGAAGCATCGTGTTTTGGCTTTTTGGACACATGTCAAGACAAGAGTTCCCGTATCTCCATGAAGTGAGATGCGCTTTAATGCCAAGCCAGAACTACACCATGGCTGAGAACCAGGGGAAAAACGGTGTCTTTGTGCACGCGAAGTCAGATATGCACATGTATTTGCTGAATTTACTTTGCAAGCCATACCCTGGGAATCCCTGGAACCTTCAAACAACCGACCACTCACCGTCACGCCAGGTCACCGATTGATCAAGATATGCGCCCCCTGTTCAACATTGGAAAGCAAACATGTTCGTGCCAAATTCTTCCAGGTACCGCTACTCACGATGACAGCTCCAGCGGTGAGAGCTTGGTGGACCACTTGGTGCACAGTTTTGCGAAAGGTGTTGCCGGGCTGTGCTTAGGAGATTCCGAAAGAATGCTGCTCAGTGTTCTGTGGACAATCCTGATTTTTGAGCTGCGAACCAGGCTACTGCCAAGGATGTGAGGGGCAGTGTCGCGAAGACCCATAAGCTCTTATCAAAACACGGAGCCTGTTCTTTGAAAGTCAATGGTTCTTGTGTTTTCTTACCAATGTCATGGGCAGCATTCTGGAGAGAACCAATCCTAGGAATCACCAATCCAGAATTTTCTGGCCTTGCCAGAAGTCTTGGACGTGAAAGCAATGCATCCCGGAACCTTTACCGGTACATCCTTCGGAAGAACAAAGCATTGCCAATTCCGATCACCTTCGTTCAAACACCTGTCAGGTGCTGTGCGCCTGGTGCGTTGACAAAGAGAAAGAAGAAGAATGTCAAGGTGAAGATCATCCCTTGGCCGTGCATGCTGCTGACGGATTGGGTCAAGGTATGTATGGAAGACCCCAAGTACAGAGGACGTTTTTTTCTAGGTGGTCATACTCTCGACACCCTAGAGCAAGCCGAAGACATGTTGGAAACATTTTGGCATCGGTACGCCAAAGTGGAGACCGCGTTGTCTCCCACCCATCCCCGAAGAACAATACCGGTGTTCCTTCATGGTGATGAAGGCAGAGGCCTTGTACATCGGCCTTGCCTGGTGTTGGCATACCAACCTGTTCTGGGCGTGGTGGGTGAAGCCACCCCAAACTCCCATGGGAACCTCGGATCGGAGTCTTCTGTTTTGTTTGAGTTTGAGTTGCGGGTACGATAGAAAGGGACTGGCAAATTCAATCCACAATCACCCGAGGAATACCTTCAACACGCGGATGCTCTTCACAGTCGTCCCCTCTGCCCAGTATGCACCGGATGGATCTACTCTACAATGTTTGATGGAAACCTTGACCCAAGACCTCAACCGTGCTAGGGAAACCGGAATAGAGGTGGCTCTCCTAATTTCAATCTGACATGCACATAGCACCGCGTGGGCATGATATCTGCACATGAATTGTTTCTCAGAGCTGCAGGTTTGTGTGGATGGCAAGCGCCTCACATGGTGGATCCAATTCGCTGGAACAAAGGGAGATTGGCCATTTCTTCGTAGCTGTTACAAACTGTATAGCGGTTTTACAAGCCTCCGTGTTTGCCATGCTTGCAGTGGTGTGGAATCTCGAACTTGATAGCTTTGGCCACTTAATTGTTTCAGCATGAGGTTCCATGCGTCACGCGCCAACTCAGCTGTTTTGAGGACTGGTATGATGTCTCTGCTGGAAACCCGGTGCGTTCGATGCCAAAGGGTGCAGAGGTTGAGGATCCATTTCACCAGGGTGATATGGCCGCCATCCGATTCGCTGAGCCAATTGAATTTGGTCAAAGTGTGAGAGCGTTGAAAATTGACATTGCTCACTGCTATGCGATTTCTGGCTTCGGCAAAGACGATATTGCAAGTACGCTGGTTTTTCTTGCCGTGAGGTGCTCAATCTTTGGCCACGCTAGCTTTGAGGCGCAATTGGAAGAGGCGTTTTGCCATTTCAAAGAATGGACTCGTCAGAAAGGCAAGCGCACGACTGTGACAGAGTTTTCTAAGACTACCCTCAAGATCTCTTCGAAACTTTGCAGCATGTTGTTTTGAACTGCAAATGATCGGTCAGCAAGTCATGTTTTTGAAGTGTTGTGTTCATTCTTGAGAAGGTGCAAACGCCCGCGTGTCTCACCCCAGGTTGCAAGATTTCCCAGCAGGCTTGGGAAAAGGCAGCGACTGTGCAGTGATCTCGGCTTGGTTGGAATTTGTCCTTCAGAAGCTGTCCTGGGAGGACGTGCCAGCCACTTGGATAATCCATGTCATGCTTCTGTGACCCATGACCTCTCCATGGATCATAAGGAACAGTGCCGGGATCTCCTGCAGGTCGTGAAGTGGGGAAACGCTTCTGCAAATGCATTTTTCCGGCTCGTGTATTCCGGAAGTACGTGGCTAGACCGCCAGCAAGCCAAACTTGCCGTACAGCACGGCTGGGCTTTCACAGATACTTGGTAGGACATACCTCATTTGCAGTTACCACGTAACTTGTTTCTAGAGTCGAAGCTCCTGAGCCAAGGAGGCCTTTGGAGCGTGCGCGTCGCTTAGCCATGCACTTGGATGGAAGCTGTGGTACATCAGGCCCAAACTACACCTGATGCTGCACGTTGTGATTCTCAGTGGCACCTCTTTTGGCTGATCTAGCCACGTCGTTTACAAGCACACTTGGCAATACTAGTTACTAGCTGAGGAGAGAAATGGAAGATCAGCTATCAGACCTATCCTGCACACATATCTTTTCCCCAGCGTGTGCACACCTCAGTTTCCTCCAACCTTTTCATGTTTGTTGCTGCGCACACTTTCTTTAAGGCACAGCCTGTTGGAGCGATGAAGATTTTATAGGTCGCATATGTCGAGTGAATCGGAAAGTACACAGCCTTAAAGCTGCCAAGGGAACGATTGAGAAGTGTTTGATCGAATACAGAACCCAGTGGCAGCGCTGTTGCCTTGAAGCTGGGAGCCCCGGCGGTGCAGGAGGTCGCCGTTGATCTGGAAAAAGTGTGTGTGCACTGGCTGTGGGCGTCGGGTGGCGTGTGTGGGCCTCTATCATCAACACCATGATATGCCATGGCATTAAAACGAGCGCATTTTTCCAAACGAGGCGCAAATGATTCGAGGCAAATAAAAGTGTATCAAAGGAAGATCTAGGTTATATATACCATACATGGATGGTCTGGGATAGATGGACCTCAGTGGTTTCAAGCAAGCATCCCAACATTGAAAAACAGGTCTGAAACCAAGGAACCACGAATCCTGGAAAGCTCTAAGGAAGACCGGGGACCAAAGAGTCAGGCCCACATTTTAGGGTGAAATGCGAGAGATTCTACCTGCGATTTCACGCAGGTTTCACCGGGTTTTGTAAATCCCCGACACAAACACTCCACAAATATACCCTCGAAGTCGACACTTATCAAAAAACATGGTCTGACTATAGGGTATCTGAACCTTCCTGAACACTTCACTGAGGGTTTGAACCTCACCCTCACAAGAATGGAAGGTTGACATCCCTTAAAGAGGAATCTGTTCATTTGACCCAGCTGTCAACGTGGATGCATTTTTGATTGTTTTTGCATCCACCAGCTTGGTCCGATCATCACCTTACGAGTCCCGCCACCAAGGCACTGGGCAGATTGGCTCGCCTCACGTGCTCCATCACTGCAGATTGGCACTCCTCAGCTCTCTCCATGAATTGGCGCATGCGTGACACATCGCATGACACGAGCTGTCTGAAGGAGCCCCTGTGCCTGGCCTCCCAAAAACCCAATGCAGTCGGACGCAGTTCTCATTCATTTCAGAGGTACCTCTACAGGTCCCTCGTACCTCAGAAAATGAGGTACTGTAATGGTACCTACCTGGGACCCCTAAGGGGGGCCTAATGATAGCCCCTTAGAGGTTAAGGGGTGCCCATTAACCACCCCTTAGGGGGGCCCAGGTATAGGACCCATTTCTGGTTTAGTTCATGTCTTGGTTGCAGCCTTCGTCGGGTCGACCGGACACAATCCTGCAACCTCGTCAGGGTGTGCGCCTTTCTGGTTTCTTCGCCGAGGTCTTGAGAGGTGATGCATCGCATGTGGTGCATCGCATGGTTGTCCCTCTCAGGGTCAATGGTTTTTGCCGCCGAACCCGAAGGTACTCTCCCTAGAATCTCACATGGTTACGTGGAGTTCACCACCTGTTTGGTTCGTGGATTTCACCACCTGTCTTCCGAACTCGGGGTCATGCCATCCACGTAACCATGTTAGTTCCAGGGAGTGTGTTTCCTGGTGACAATCTTCTTCCATGGGCGGCATACCTCCAAGTCCTTGGTTAGTAGTGGTGAGTTAACCATATGCAAAAAAGGGGCAGGGCACATGGCCCCTTCATCCTAAATGGTATCATCATCACAAATATGCTTACGGGATAATATTAAGTTCCTAATCATCCTAATCTCAATCTGCACCTGTGCCACATTGTTGTCCCTCTTGTGAATCATTGATATGAATCATCCATGTGTCGGCACACAAGTTGTTTCGCCATGATTGAATGTTCTTGCTGGGAAAGGTACAGTAAACGTTTTTGAACGGATCAATATACCCAAGCAAAACACCGAATCGTTGGGTCCGAAGGGTTGTACCGTACTCGCTCCAGTCGGCAGGGGGAAAAGGGACCGAACCCAAACCCTTGATGAACATCTTGAACCGTCCGGACCCAGAATCAGGTACTTCCCAGACGCTCAAACCTCACCGACCTTGATCCCTCCGTTCACCAGGGATTGGCTTCGAATGGCTTCGAAACCCGGCGGTCGACCCCGACCCAGAGGATTCGGGAGGGACCCGTCGCCCTCCGTCCCGACCGGCGGTTTTCCCGGTCCGTGTGGCACCTCGACGTCCTCCGCCCAGGCATGACTGAGCATGAGCTGCGCCGAGTCCTCGCACCCGCGCGCGATACCCGGGCGGTGCGGCCCACGCAAACAGAAGAAACAGATCCGTGGCGCCATGTACTTTGCTTGAATTCCCTTCGACAGTATTGTTCAAGTAAACAGGAAATTTGTCTCTTGGGTCATCTAATGACTATTGCCCGCTTTCCCGCTGATCCAGCTGATCAGGCTCCTCTCTGTGTTGGCTCATCATCACCGCCACACCACAACCTTCACCTGCGAAGGTTGCGACATTGAGAATCACTTTGCGTGCCCCAAAAATGCGTCCACCATACCCCATAGGCTCCATGTATGGAATATACCTGGATCTTCGAAACGGCACAAATAATTGCCTTTTCAGGAAAAAATGCCGTTACGGCGTCTTTTTCCAAAGACGGCGTTTTTTGTTGTGACGAGGCGCACGCCGGCAGACAGCAAAAAGAAACGGCGTCTTTAAGCGTCCAAACGGCGTCTTTGGGCGTCCAAACAGCGTCTTTCCCCGTCCATGGATTTTGTACAACCCATAAAACGGCATTTTTTTTGATTACGGCGTCTTTTCACTAAAAAATGCCTCCGGCAAAAATTTGTGCCGTTGGAAGATCCAGGTATGAATGCCTACATTGACCCCCCCGAACCACCCCAACTGATCGGTATATATGGCAGTCCCATGCAGCGTCTAGGTACTGGTGTGGAAGCCGGATCGTCCACCGCGCACGAGCACGAGTTGGCTGGCTTTGTTCGTGACCGAGAAAAACAGATCCGCTGGATTGATAGCGTTGTTGCCCCACCGTTTCCAAGGGTTCCAAACACAGGACAGCAAGATCCTTGGACAGGTTCTTTTGGATGTCCCACCTCACTGCTACAATAGTAGCCAGCTTCCGCCTGGTCGTATCAAAAACAGCCGCCTTTGGGACAAAACAGCCTTAAGGGTGCATGTTGATCATTTATTATTATCATTCTGCAACTGCTTGTGACGTTGGAGCGTCTGGGTATGGTATACCTATCCGGGCGTGTGTTTTTTCACGTAACCTCACACCAAACACCAACAGACTGATGATACTACTCAGGATCTATACTCCCTAATAATCCATTGCCACTGAATTGGCACCGTCTCAGGTTCGGTACCGACTGGACCCTCCATGCACATGTAAAGGTGTCAAACACATCACCGTATGTGTGTGCCAGTGGATCCATAGGGACTCCACACCACGCAGCAAACATGGTGAATCAGCATCTCTGCATTGGCTGGTGAAGCAGCTTGCGGGGCCCGCAGGGCCTCTGGTCCATGGCTTGACGTACTCCTGGTTCAAGTCATACCTAACACGCCGCCGGTCACGGTCACAGGGTGTGTGTTTGTGTAAGACACTTGGACGTGCTCAGCCAAGCGGTTTGGAAGCCACCGGGTCACGGTTTTTGCTCCCTTTCATCATGGTCTCAGGTACTCCCCACCTAACGGCTTTGCACCTCCCGGCACAACTTTGAGGATGGCAGGATTTCGGAAGGTTGTGCAGCAAAGTCACCACTTGTACCAAACATGATTGACAAATAGGCATCTTCACTGCTGGACTCACCTAGAAGAGGATATGTCCACCGTAGCGGATAAAGGTCTTGATTCTTGCTTTTGAGCGTCACTTACCTTACTCCGATTGGAGTTTTGTTCAAAGGAGGAAGCTGAGATGGGGATTTCTCAGCTGAAAAGAAACCGTTGAAATAGCCAAAGGCTCATGGATCAAGATGATCTGAGCAGAAAACTGGGATGAAATCACGTCTGTCTGACTTCATGGCTTGTCCCAGCACAACCCTCGAGCAAGATCACTCAGTTCATCCGCTCAGTTCAGGCCAGGACACATGTTCACATACTTCTTGCCGTGACTTTTGAAGACGCAATACCTTGGCAGGCAGTGCTTTGAGAGTAAATCCGGTATTCGGAGATCCTGCAAGAGGGGGCCTAGAAAAAGCAAATTCGGTAGCCAAAAGCTATCCAAAGGTTCCTGGTGTTCAATTTTTGCCCTGTGACCCCACGGACTCCGGTTGTAAATCTTGAAAAGCACTGGGACTGGGGGTGGGTGGGAGGGTCCACCAAACCTGAGGTTCGCTAGGACTGGAGCCCCAGAGTGACGCAAGCACTGCGAGAGAAAAGGTGAACCCCTGTCTTCTTCCCTTGGACAACTAAAAGGAACGGTTGACCTGTTTTGTAGTCTGAAGTTCCTAACTTAGTACAGCTAATGGCTGGACACAGGACACCTTGTTACAAGCGTACCGGTGGGCCAGGAATCCCTCCGGGTATACCTGGACACTCGTACCTGGTACCCCAGCCGGATACAGCCGAAACCATTTTTAGAGGTTCAAGATGGCAATTGTGGGGCCCCACCCATGGGAGGGGTTAGCCGCGAAAGCCCTTCCCATTGGTTCGGGCCCAGCAAAACAGAAAACAAACTTGCCCTGGGTCGACCACGCAACTGGAACGCGCCCCGACACCCGCGCCCCGACACCCGCGCCCCGACACCCGCGATTGGGATCCAAAAAACGCTTCTTGGTCCTGACAAAAGCTGAGGACATGGTC